TAGTGTAGGAGAAGCGCAATATCAGCAATCGAAAATGAAGATTGTCGATGCGATAATGATCATTTGGAGGTCAAATTAGGATGAAAAAGAACGTTACTGCCATCTATACGACTAGTTGCATCATACGCAAACCTCTTTATCATCCGTTGGCGCATACCAGCCCTTATAGCTCATATCGTGAAGTGAATAGCTAGCAGCTAATTAAAATCTCCAGTTAACCGTAAGGGTGAAAGGTCGGATGAAGGCAGCTACGCGTGTAGGCTCGTGACTACCGCAGTTGTTTTTATCGGGGCTTCTCGACCTGCAAATCCCCACGCTACAGGGTGAAGAAACTTGTTTCATAAACAACAGAAATAATAATTTTCGACGGTCCAAACAACTTTTGCACCAAGGCTTTGGCGTATATTTTTTTAGAGTGAAGCACTAAGTTTTTCCACGATTATGGAGGTTAGGCCACACTTCTTCCTACAGACCAAAGCCTTCTAAGTTTGTCTCCCTCTGAACATTATCCGTATTTGGCATATCTCTACGAGCCCCTTCCCACTTCAGTTAGCCCAACTATTGAAATCTTAGTTTTTTTCTTATCAAACACAAACAATAAAAATATTTTGATAACATGTAGTACAAAACACCAACTTTGTCACTCCCTAATCAAATTTGCAGTATAAAAATAACACATGTTGCAATTACAGCATATCAACCCATTTTCATTTCAATGCAAAATAAGTCTAGGTGGCATAGGTGGCTGTGAAAAATAACAGCCATGACAATTGTTTTTATTAATCACAGCTGTCAGAATACGTTTGAAATAGTTTTGGGTAGTTAAGGTTTTCAAAATGGGTAGAGGAAAGGTTATTAGTGAGAAAATTCTGTTACTGATAATTAAATTTTTTAATTCTGGGAAATCAAACTCAAGAATTGCAACTTTGTTAGACTTATCGCGGTACAGTGTGAGAAATATTGTTAGAAGGTATAACGTAACTGGTTCAGTTAATATTAAGCCACGATATGTGAAAAAAAGTAATATCACAAATGCCGACCGAAGAGCATTAAGAAGAATAATCGTGAAAAACAGGCGTGCCAATTATTTACAATTAAGTGCTCTGTGGAGTCACGCTGTTAGAAGGAGAATTTCGAGGTCCACAACTCATAGAGAGGCCCACAGCATTTAGCACTTGCAAGGTAAGTTTTTTTATAAAAAAAGGTGAAGTAAAAACCCTAAAGTTGCACAACTTGTTTATAGACCAAAGAAAAGCCACTGTTAACTCCACTGCAAGAGAAAAATCGGCTTAGATGGGCTAAAGAACATAGACAATGGACACCTCAACAATGGTGTGCAATACAATGGAGTGATGAGGCCCGATTCGAAGTTTGTTTTGATGACAGTCGCAGTAGAGTTATTCGCAAAAAAATGAAGCATTGCATGTTGACTGTCTGAAGAGAGAAGTGAAATTTCCAGCATCCATTATGGTCTGGGACAGTATGTCATCAAAAGGAGTTAGAAAACTTCATTTTATTGATGGAGATGTGGATACAAACAAATATTTGACAGTTTTAGAAGAATCGCTTTTACCAGTGATGGAAGAATGTTTGACATCTGACCAAGATTTTGTGTTTCAGCAAGATGGTGCCGCTTGCCATACCTCAAAAAAGGCTATAAAATGGATGGAAGAAAATAATGTACCACTTTTGAAAAGGGGTTTCTAGCAGTCCAGATCTGTCACCTATTGAAACTTTGTGGCACCAGATGAAAAAGGCTCTACGATGACATCCTGCTCGTACAATCACCGAACTGAGACAAAAGTTTCAAGAAGTATGGGATTGTTTTAGACCAAATTTTTGCCCAAACTTGGTTAACACTATGCCCTAAAGAATTTCAGCCGCAATAAAAAATAAAGGTGATGTTACCCAATGGTAATCTTTCAATTGTTGCTTTGTTAAGTTCGCGCATTTATTCGCACATTGTTTATTTGTTCAGATGTTCTATTAGTTATGTCTACGACTAGAGTGTATCTAAAATGTTTTTGAGAAAATAAGTTGTTTCAGAGGTAAATAGTTTCGTCATGTTTAGTTTATAAAGGCATATTTTGGTACAAATCTTGAAGTGGGCCAACTGAATTGGGAAGGGGCTCGTACATGTCCTACTTGCTCATGCGGTCAGTTTGTATGCAGGATGTAAAGTTAGTAGTGGACCAACGGAAGTCAGGTGATAGAAAACCTCAAAGCATATCGAATGATCTCCTATAAGTGTGGTACGAAATTTTGTAGTTCAGGAGATATTTGCAATTTTGTGAAATTTCTAAAAAGAAAAATGGATAATGAACTCTCAATCGCAATTACAACTAAACCATTAGACTTAGGGCTGTGATTTTTTTTGACAACAGTTTAATCGCTAGTTCTGGCAATAGTTATGTCACTGTTTAACAGAGATAATTGAAGGGCTCGGTGCAAAAACCAGTCAACTCCATTTTTGATAATTTGTGGAAAATCAATAAAAACTTTCCAATATTGTTATTTGTACAAATTTTCTGTCGAAAAAAAATACCAAGTAAGTACTGCTATTGGAGAATAATATAATATCAAACTGATAACATTAATCTTTTTTGACACTTCAGAAAAAAAAAATTGAACTCTTGGAGTTGACTGTTTTTTGCACCGAACCTCCAAATATACACAAATAAAGCAACATTATTGCGTTCAGTATTTATTCATTATAAAAAAAACATAACTTCACGTTTTAGCTCAAAGCAACTCTAAAAAAACAAGAAACACAATAGAGATCACAGAAAAAATAACAAATGATGTGGTTAAAATAAGAACATTTCAGCAAAGAAAACTGATCAACATAATATAAAGAAACTAGAAATCTTCAGTTTCAACTTCGCCACTATCGCTGTCAAGTTCTTCTTCTCGTTGTTGTTCATCTTGATTTGTGACCCGTATTTGCTCGTAGTACCACTTATATATTGGTGGTACGTAGTGATCTGCCAAAGACATCACATTTGCTATTTTTTGGGGTTTATTTTAAGTGGAAATGTGTTGTACAGTTTAGTATTTGGCCAAATTAAAACTGCGTTAGGTTTTTTGATGACAAATGATGAATATAAAGTTAGACCTGCTGTAGCACTACACTGTATTATGTTTTTTCTTTCATATTTGAAAAGACGATACTTTGAGATGGTAAATCTTCTTTTTGTTGGTTACTTATGGCTTTTTTAAAAATAGGTTTAAAAGTATTCGAAAAATCGAGGATCATATCCTGGGTAACGTCTATTACGCGAAACTGTTTAGATGTATTCTTGACTAATTTTTTCCATTCAGAAGGTAAGTATACTATTTCTTTTTTTCGTTTTTCTTTTTCAATTAAACCAAAGCAACGGTCGCACGGCAGAAAGCTGTGACCGGGTTCTGGAAACTGATGTATAATTTGCTGAATATTACTATTGAAAGCATTGATGAATGTGTGAAAGTACTGCACTATGGTTTGATTTTTGTTGTGGGCAAAACAGTTGTCCGAAAATAAATAGAGGGTTGTAACAGTTTCCGGGACAAAGTTTGTTAAATAGTGATGTAAACAACTGACTACTTCGTTACAACCTTTTTTGGCAGTGAGCTCATCGTACATATAAAAAGTAGCCTCTCTTTTCTTGGCAGAATGTACACAAAAGTTGTATTGCCATAGCTGCCTTTTATAGAACACATCGCCCGACGGAATATGCGGCAGTGGCAGGTTTTGTTGGTAATCAAAGCATAACACATCAACTGATTCATCTTCGCGAGCAAGATTTGTATATTCTCGTAATTTGGTATAAAATATTTCGGCCTTCTGTAAGTGTAGACGCTTTTCAGTTTCCAAGCGGGTTTCATTTTCTGCATTTGCTTCTGCGGAAATTGTGTTGTGCAGGCGGTCACATTTCTGGCAGGTATCTGATCTTGGATGTCCAAAACTAAGGTTATGATTGAGATTAAATTGCCGATGATAAAAATCATATGTTACTACTGGTTTAATGTCCTTCAAAATTTTCCCATCGTCTAGGAGAGCATACTTTTCTGGCTCATATTTTTGAAGGTAGAGGCGATGCATTGTTGCAATATTCAACTCAGGAGATAAAAAATACCTTTTCTGATTATCCTCCCTACTATAATGAGATTTTCTTCTGGGAAAACTCCGAATATGTTCTTCTATTTGCGCTATTATTTCTTCACTGATTTTGTTCGGCCTATTGGAATGCTTCCCACGCTTATCGGAAGGTGACATAATACTACCCAGCGTCAGATTTTTGGCAATCTGAGACACTCTATTTTTTGATACTCCATGCAAAGAACAGAATGCTTTTTTGCATACTATGGTTTCCTGGCTTCCTGCCCGTAACTGAAAAAAAAGACATTTTAGAACCAATTATTATATTTTGCAACAAAAACATTACCTTATACTGATAGGTGTTGCTTTTTTCTCTACCCTCTCCTGTAGTCGGGCGTTTCCTCTTCACATTTGACACACTGATTAATCCCCCTAGGTAAATGTCTTGTTTAGTTTTATCTCCCGTACTATAAAACTGCTCAAGTATGTTCTGTCGTTGGGTATCGTCTATTTTAGTGAAACATCTTTTTCTACAATGGCAATTTGGTCCAGTAGTTTTCTTTTGAATTAGTTTATTTGCCGAATTAATATATTCTTCCCCTCTAGCCTGCTTACTCTTCATAATGTTTCGTTTCCATTTGCTTTCCATCCTCACCCGTTTCTTGCCTTTTTTCTTAACGGTTTGAATGTTTGGAATTTCTGTATTATTACTCACAGACGTTTTTTTGCTGCTCATTACTTTTATGGGTACCTTTTTTAGCACTAACAAAATGCTTTGATCGCCGTCGACTAGAACCCGGAACATCAGAATCGGTGGAATCCGATTACACGTAGTCAGTCCCAGAATCTACATATGGGTCTTCCTCACTAAACTCGCTACTTGAACTGATACTCATAATGCAACGATCTTTTTTACACCTTATTCGTTCACGAGACACAATGCAATGTTGAAAACCAACTGAAATGCTACCGGCTTGCCATCGCACGTGGCCTGATTTTCCGATGTTGCCGATGTTACCATTGGTGGCAAGAAACGGTCATCTCCTGGAGTTGGCCGATTCTTGCACCTAAGTATTGATGCAGTCAACTCCTTGGCCCAAGTATTTACCATAATATTTGTTGGAGATGGCTGATTCTTGCACCAAAAGATGTACAAACATTTGTTCTATACGATGCATATATAAACTGAATTTGGGTAAAAGATGGAGTTGACTGGTTTTTGCACCGAACCCTTCAATTAGAAATCAACGCAAAAAGTCTTAAATTCATTTTTTTGTGACAAATCTCGTCCATCCCTCAACATTGAGTGCGGTAAAAAAATCGAGGTGGTATTTCATTATGCGTTTTATTGTAAAAACTGTTTCACTCCATATAGAATAAACTCTGGAAATTTAAGCTTGCTACGATAAGTGCCTCACCTTAAAAAATCTGTGTGTTTGACGCACGTGGGTATCTATACATGTAAACAAGAAATTCTATTTTATTAGCTACAGAATTTTGGCATATGAAGTACTGTAAGATTCGTCCAAGCAGTGCGAATGATACTGTGTGTATTAAAAATTTGTAAAATTGAAATGGCGGATTTTCTTAAAAACCAGCTCAATGAGCTTAGTCATTCAACTTGGCATTCCAGGTACGAGTCCGACCGAACTTACTAAGTCAGGCAACGAATTAATATCTATCGTTTGGCATCTGAGTAGAATCATGTCATATTCTCCGCGAGATTATTGCAGAAATGCATTAATTACTATTATGGTGCTGCCCTAGGAAATGCTCGAGCGGCTGCTCGCATGTATCGGGAGTACGTGGTTAGAAGAGGTGCACCACAGCCGGTGCTATATCCCGACTACGCGTTTTTATACGCGTGTGTAGTGCGTATATGGAGGGCCGCATACTAGGCGCTTATCGTCAGCTAGGAGCGCCGAGGATACGCCCAGCAAAAATAGAATAGAAGCAGCCAAGAGAGATCCCTCTATAAGCACCAGAGCCATTGCCCGAAGCAGAAGCATATACCATACTACGCTCGGAGAACATGCATCCTTGCCATGTACAAAAAGTGCAAGAACGGGTTGAATTTTGTGAGAATATGTTGAGAAGGTGCGAATAGAATGAAACTTTATTCTTATGTACAGACGAATCCAACTTTAACCGAAATGGAATATTCAACATGCACAATTTCCATTCATCGAGCGTGGAAAATCCACACGCTATTCGCCGACACAGCTTTCAATGTCAGTTAATCTATGGGCTGGAGTACTGAACAAAAAATTAATTGAACGATATGAATTGCCCGTCATGTTGGATGGTCAGTCATATCCTGGTTTTCGAAGCCACATGTATTTTCAATGCGATGGTGCCCCATGCCACTTTGCACGGGATGTACGGCGTTACTTAGACAGTGCGTTGACAAAAAAAGTACGACTCGAAATGCCTTCAACATTTTAGCATATACTTCCATGACAGCCAACATCTTTTCAAGCGTTTATCAAAATTCAATAAACAATTCTGAGTGTTGCATTTTATGTGTCAGTATATCTATCATTATTGCACTAATTTGTGAAAGCCCTAACTAATCAATCATTTCATCCGAGTAATTAGATAATTACGTTTGACTAACTAGTGGCCAACGTACAGGTATTAGACAAAATAGAGGCCTCCCTGTATCACCATTATAACTTCCATCAGCTGCCACTTACTCGTGTTCATACATCGGTGCAACATCATACTGAAAGGCACCGGAAAGGATTCGCAGGAAACAAAGGAAGGCCCTACTGGCGCTATAGGTGACAGCCGTTGTTTCGCTTTTTGTGTCGATAAAATCTTGTTTTATTCGCTGGCAGGGTTGTCGAGGCAAAAGGTTAAAGTCTCTAATTAGCCCTTGATTTGCATGAAAGTGCAGAAGTCCATTAAGGATTGTTTGCTCAGTTACCAAAAGGGCGGTGTAATTATTTAAATGTGGGCAAAAATTGTAGGAGGGTTGGATAATCGCCTTTGAATCTTTTTGGTCATGATGACCGTAACGCTGCCAGCGTTCAGCTGACGTGAAGCTGCCCAGCGGCGCAGAGCTTTTTTGCTAAGTAGCAGTAGCCGTGGAATAGCTTTGACAGTTCGCAACATTTAATCAACAAACGACCAAATGTGACAGCCCGGTGACAAATGCTGTCACAGTGATAAAGTTACCAGTAGATACTGGTGCACTCTGGCGCCCCCCACCACTTCCACTTTTTGGCCACGCCCACCACATCCACCGCGTGCTCTGATTGGCGGATCAAACGGCGGGAAATTTGAACGGGGTTGATGGTATATGTTGATTGGCGGGAACCGCTAGATCCACCGCGTGCTCTGATTGGTGGATCAGACGGCGGGAAGTTTGAACGGGTTGATGGTATATGTTGATTGGCGGGCCCCGTTAGATGGCGCACCCGACCGGAAGTGATTCAGACAGCCGACGATAGTAAGGTGTAGTATAACGTCTATGCGTAAGCGATGTGACTCATTTCATGTTTTGCGGTAAATATTTGCATATAGATCGATAAAAGCCCATGAATAATGATATTTATAGATGCAATTCTGCGGATTCAGTTTAAATGGAGAAACGTATAAAATTCGCGGGAAACAATGCGTATAGGATGATCTCAATAATCAACACGTCATATTCAGTGTGCATATAAAAATGGAATTGCTCATATATGTGGTGCATACAGTTAATGTTAGTTAATTTTAACATTGATACAATATTGAAAACATAGGACAGTCTATATTGTGTATCTAATAAATTCAACAAGGCAATCACCTACGTCGCAAATGAGGTTAGGTTCAGGGCAGGTGTTGTCGTAGCGGTGATATGCAAGAAGTACCGGGCGGGGCTGTTAAGCATGGGTGAATGGGCAGGAAGCGCAGGCTGTCAACGAGTTAATACTGACCAACGATAACAGCGGTGACCTTGAAACACTGTGGTCAGTTAAAAAGTGGTGGGGTAAAATCGAGATTATAAATACCTATGAATCACCGCAAATTATCTTGTCAGTTATCTGCAGCGAACAGACGTGCTCAGTTCAGATTTAGTCGCTAGTTAACGTTTTAGTTTTTAAAAATGGAAAAATTCTTCATCGTTAAGGATTCTACTAAGAAGATTAAAAAATTTAATCTATATGGGCGAGAAGTGGAATTTAAAATACGACCTATCCCTAAAGACGTCGAACCTGTGGGATGGATCAAAGACGCTCTGGAGGAAATAGTAGCCAAAGGAACTGAACATCTCCAGCCCAGTGATCAAGTTGGATTCACTTCTGTTCCAAAGACTTTACCCGCGGTCAAGGATGGATAGCTTTTAAATTGTTTTCCGACGTTTCAACTGAGGACATATGGGAGAAGATATCTTCCATCTATCAGTCAAATTCTGTGGGGTTGAATACCGAGACTTTTTGCTTGGGTATTACGTCCGTAAGGTTGCCTGCTGGTCGTGCTAGAGCTCAGAATTTCAATACCTTTGATGAGGAATGCGCCAAAAGAAAAGGCATTATCACCGTTAAAAACACCGATAATTTGTGTCTCCCACGAGCCCTTGTCATCGCCATGGCCCATTTGAACAAAGACAAAGATTATAGCAGAATCCGCCGTGATCGAGGAAAAATACAAGGACAAAGAGCTGTACAACTTGTGGAAAAGGCTGATATTGTTATCCCTGAGGAGGGGTGTGGAATACCTGAACTTCAAAAGCTACAACGATATCTGCAAAACTACAAAATTGTTGTATACAAGTTTGGGTGCAAAGGTCGTGACGTCATTTTTGAAGGCGTGTCCGCTGGTCCGACGCTTAACCTAATATATCACGAGGGGCACTACAGCGTCATAACATCCCTCACTGCTGCCTTTTGCTGCAGCTTTTTTTGTGAGAACTGCCACATTCCGTAGAATACTAAACAAATTCATAGATGTGATAAACAATGTTATGCTTGTAAAAGATCTCCGGCCTGCCTGAAAACGAAGCACATCAAATGCAAAGAATGTAATAGAAGCTTTTATGGACAAGAATGTTTTAACGCTCATTTACCATCGGTCTGTTCTAAAATTAAAGATGTGTAGACTGTTTTAAAGTTCACAACGGTAATGATCACATCTGCGGATATATACTTTGTAAAACAT